ACGAGTGGATGTCCATGTAGAGGGTTACGCCTTTGCCGGCGGCGATGCTGTCGAGTTGGGCTTTTAACGCTTTGGTTTCTACGCCGTCGCCGGCCGAGGGGCCTTTGTAGGTTTGGTCGCATGGATCTGTGCTGGCGCCCCCACGCTGGGACCATCGGTTGGGCCAGTTGCGGTTGATGTCTCGTCCGACGCAGGAGGCGAGGGGTGTCTTCTGGCGGTTCTTGCGCCACAAGCGGTCCGTGGTCTGTGTGTAGGCGAAGCCGTCTGGGTTCACAATCGGGAAGATGTAAAAGTCGTAGGTGTTCTTGAAGCCGGCGGTCGTGGCATCGGTTGAGGTAAGGAGCTGATATGCTGCGTATTCGACGACCTTCGGGATGTTAGCATGCTAAAGGTGGTAGTTAGCACTTCGTACGTACCATGGTCGTAATCCATTCGCGTGCATGAACGGTGCCATGCCAAACTACACCTTTCTTTGACCCTTTACCTCCGCTACCGAAAATGTGGATGCCCTTGATGTCTCGGCCTTCGACCGACTTGCCAGCAGAGATGACCTCAGCATTATTGGGGTACGCAGCAGCAAGATCAGAAATCCATTGCATGTGGTCGGCTATGCTATGGTACGAATTAAACCAAGTCGCACTTGGAGCGGCACCGCGGGCGGCTGAAGTTGCTCGTTAGCGTCATATTCAAATTACTCCGTCGAGCAGGGTAAATGTACCGACGTATTCGCCAAAGCTGTTCTCGTTTGTAATAGAGAGGCCAAGGTTTTCATGCATTATTTCCGTTTGAATGTCTGCGGTAGATGCTTCAAAATCCTTGACGGCGGAGGGCGGCACCATGATATCGACAACCGCGCTGGTAGAAGGCTTGCCCTTCCAGAGCTCGAGCTGAAGCTTGCTCATGACATTTTCGATCTCGGCGGCATGAGAGCCCACGTTGACGCGGTAGACTTTCCAGTCATCGTAGCTGGTTTTCTTTGCCACTGACGCCGCGGATGCGAGGCCTAGAGAGGCGAGAGTAACACCAAGGAACTTCATGCTGGCCAAACAATAGCAAGGAAGATGGGAGAGCGTGAAGAAACAGCAAAGTGAAGACACATACCTCTGTTATATAGATCCAGGCTGATCGTGTCGTGGAGCCCTGCCATACGCATGTCTCGATTGAGTAATACCACCTCAGCAGCCCACCATTCACACCTGCCCGACTGGCCTTAACCCCCCCCGGGACAAGAGTCTGGCCCGGGAAGCTGTTTCCACCACAGCGGTACAATCTGAATGTTTGGCAGGTGCGCGTCTTCTTTTAATATCGAGGCGGACGATAAGCCAGAGCTATGCGCCCATGGTGCAAAACACTTTGCACCGAGGCGTTGACCTACAGGGGATTGCAAACGACTACATTGACTGAACTGCCAAATCGGGTGATTGCATACGCTCCAGATGTACGCTCAGCGAATCGTCGTGCCTTGGCGCCTGGATAGTCGCATATATCTGAGATCTAGTCCAGTGCTGGCGACGGGATGCGACGGGATTGGCGCAGATCCGGGGTACGTGTGCGACCTTCCGCATCGGCCTTGGACTGGCCGCGTGATAGTCGTCGTGTCGAACTAAGAAGGTCAAATGATTGCCAAGTGCTACAAGTAGGCGACTGGATGAACAGCGGGGATATAAAGTTGAAGATGATAAGAGGACTGCAGGAAAGACCAAAGCTTCGGTTGTACTTACTGCGGGCACTACCTACCTAGCTCGCTTACGAGATCATCCGATATCTACCACTCGTTTTTTTCTTTGACCACTCCAATCCGCTTCCCCCAGCTATCAAAAGTCTGTATAGTAGTGGTACATGCACGTTCTATTTGACGCAGTGGGATTGGCGCAGAGCGCAGACGTATACCTACGCACCTTCTCCTTTTCGATCGAGCGGCTACTGAAGTACGAGTATTGATACAGTGCCTCTTCTTGCTATTGGGGTACTTCCTGGCCTATCGCAGGCACATGCAGTCAAACCAACGAGTTACAGGTCAGGCTCATGGAAGAGTGGTTGACCTTAAGACCGACCACCACCATAGTCACGCCTACGCCACACGAGCTCTCCGATCAACATGTACGCTCTGAATTTGTACATGATCAGAGCAACATACCCAGCTCATTAGAATCGAAGGCCGTGCCCTCAAACCCCAACCCCTGAGCATTCCAACCCATATCCAGCGGCAGAAACCCATTCCACAATGCCGCATCGTCCGTCGGCGCATTACCTCCACCACCATGCACCGCAAACTCATTCACGGCACCCAAATCCGTCCATCCAAAATCACCCATCTGCTCCGTGAGCGCCGGGCTCTCGCCCGTGCCGTTACTACTCGCCTGCGGACTCATCTGCCCACCGACCATGGGATGCTGCGGGAAGCCGTTTTGGTCAACCGGATTGCTGGCGATGTGCGTGCCTGGATGGCGGAAAGACGATCGACTCGCTTTGTCCTTCTTTGGTACTTTCGCCCAGAGGAGCTTCAAGAGCTGAGAGTAACGGCTACCAGGATGCTGTACGCCGACGCCCGTACCCACAGCGCTGCGTTGGAGCCGTGCGACAGTCTCGTTGATCATGGCGCGAATGGCGCGGTCCTCGTCCGCGCCTATGACCCCTGTGCAGCGTGCGCGGTAGAGAAAGACGCCCGCATACACCAGGTATAGATAGTATCGAAGTGGCATGAAACGCAGCGAGCGTTCAGGGTCGACAAAGTTGTTGACCGTAGTGAGGATGGCTTTGGCAGCATCTAGACCTTCGTAGATGAAACGTGCGTCACCCACTGCACCGACGTTATTCACAAAGACGCGCTGCGGGACGTGCATGCGACCCATCCCACTGCCCGCTGGAGTGCCAACGGCTGGGTCGGCAGTGGTGGAGGAAGACGGCAAGGCTCGCAGAACAGTAGCTTGGAATGCGAAGGCATTGGTGTACAGTCGCAGATAGTCATATGACATGAGTAGACATGCTTTGAGGGGCGGTGAGCAGGTCAATGTGCCCCATACGCTCTTCCAGCCGTAGATTGCAGAGCGGAAGTCGTCAATGAACTTGATGTAGCTGCCACTCATTTGGGAGCGAAAACTCGAGCTGGGATTGGAGTAGAGCGTGTCATGCACGTTGCCGAACAACTGCGTAAGCTCCAAGTTTGCCTGGAAAATGGAGGCATAATCCTCTTCATTTGGATTCTTCGGTATTAACGATGGATAGTCCTCCCTCCGCAGCGTGGTCAAAGGGCCAGGACCTCGAGACCAGAATGCTTTCCCGATTCGGATGCTGATATGGCGATCAGACACATACGCTGCTGTCCATATGAGACGCTTACGGTCATGCTCTTGGTCCTTGCCCTGGTCCACGAAGCGGAAGGAGTATCGATCCAGGGCGAGGAAGTAGGCGATGCGGAGAGCAAGGCCTACGTGCATCCAGCTTTCCTTGTCTTCTTCTCCTTTGCCGACCTTGCCTGAACCCCGCTGCGTGTAGGGGGCCCACTCGGCAAGGAGAATTAACGCCTCCACCGCCTCGATACCAGCATCGCCTCCTGCGGCCAGTGCTGATACAAGGTTCTTCATATGCTCCGAGCATGCTTCGTAGATGTGAGGCTCCTCGACAAGATCTTTGGACGCGATTAGAAGTATGGCAGTCAGGAGATGACTCTCATTCTTGACCAGATCCGCCAATCGCGAAGTCTCAAACGCGTGCGCCGGAGCCAAAGGATAGTATGGGTGGTATTGCTGTTGAAACCGAACGAGTAGCTGGCATAGCGAATGGACGGTGAGTATACCTCGGTCCAACAGCGGGTACGAGAAAGACAGTGGCGGGTGTCTGACGTTTCCTATGCCGTTGCTGCCACCGTTGTTCTCCTCGTTGGAGCTTGACTCGCCGGCAACTCTAGCCAATATACCCAACGCATCCGACGGATTCTGCAGGTTCGAGAATGGGAGTTCGTCTGTATTCGAGGAGCCGGATCGCGATGCATCGAGTTCTTCGCCTAAATGTTGTACGCCCGGGTCTTGCGACCAAGTGGTTCCTAGGTTCCCGAGCGTATGGAAGCTTCCTTCAGGGGCAGTAGCCGTGAGGGACGGCAATGGCTGCTGTGCTTGCGATTCTGATTGCGGGTGCGCGTCTTCCACAGGCTTCTTTTTTCGCTCGCGCCGTCCACCACGATTGCTACCACCCAACACGCAGTCGAGATTGTCGCGCTTGCAGCGGAGGCATGGTATGGAGTTGTCGGAATCTCTACGAGCTGTTAGTCACTAAATCTAGCAGCGTATTTTACCGTCTTTGGGCGTATCACAAGTGAAGCTGAAGATCGCCGAACTCTACAATGACCATGCGCGCAAGTACCTAGGTACATGGAAATTGACGCAATCAAGAATCGCCGACGCGGGCAAACACACGGGAAACCGTCACTTACAGTAAACATCGACTCTTCCTCTTCCTGCAGTTTAGACACGCAATTTGCGTTCGTTTACTCTTCGATGCATCGTCTTCATCCTGGTTGGCGACTGGCTGCACGCCCGTAGGCTGTTGTGGGGCGGTTGTTTCCATACCTCATCCTCGATGGTTGTGTCGGGGTTTGAGGCCGTCGGGTCGGCGGACTGAGGAAAGGCGGGGGTGTTACCTAGCGTCGGTTACTGCTCTGTACCGGGCCGAGACGTTCACTGGCTGAGGCTCCCACTTCTTTTTGGGGGTTCGATTCGAATAATTTAGTTTGAACAATGTGAGACTGTGTAAAGTAAAAGAGCAGGTCCACGGTCGCTGCCATGTTAATGTTGACCTCGAGCTGTCTGTCGGCTCGGTAAATGTGTGGATCTTTGAGCCGGTGGCTGTACCTACCAAGATTGACTGACGTTTCTCACCACTCCCCTTGGTCGAAAATTTAGTTCAACCTGTGAAGACTTTCCGAACAGGCAGCAGCTTGTCGGCCTAGTGAATTAAATGTTGTAGTATATATTTTTTATTTCTAAACATATTCCATCAATTACGGCTCGTTGGTGTAGTTGGTTATCACGTCAGTCTAACACAGCATCTTCATGATGGTTAGTACACTGAAGGTCCGGAGTTCAAACCTCCGATGAGTCATGTGGCGCTGCGGCGCGATTCTTTTTGCATAGACAATGAGATTAGATAGTGTGGGCAGCGGCAGGAATTATTTTTTTGGTTGGATATTTCGACTGAGTGAGTACGCGAATAGGACCATAGAACATAACATAGCAACGAGCAAGTAATCATAGACTGTTGCAACATTACCTACTTGGTTTTGCGCCCGTAATGTCTGTTTGCTTCGATGGAACAGGCACCCTAACCTTCCCACCCACCCACCATAGGACCGATTTTGTAAATTCCAGAGCAAGCAGCTAAACCTCAGATCCTGTCACATAACCCCCCACTACACCTATTTTCCAACCAAGCATCCCCCATGGCTTCCTCAGATAACCTCACGGACCTGCCCACCCCGCCTTCGTGCACAGCAGACTTTTGCCTCATCCCGCTCGGCACGCCGACAGCGTCCGTATCAAAGGAGGTCGCACAAGTCCAGCGCCTCCTCAAGAAGAGCGGATTGAACTACTCGATGCATTCTGCGGGGACCACAGTTGGTACGTCCAGCCCGCCTTCCCCAATCCTGCCATATCATCCCGACTCTGATGTATATCCTCTCCCGGCCGGGAAGTGCATAAAGGCGGAACACATCAGACAATTGTGCTAACATTTCTCAGAGGGGTCCTGGGACGATGTCATGAAAGTCATCGGCCAATGCCATGCTATGCTGCATCAAAATGGCATCGTGAGGATTCAGAGCGACATCAGGGTGGGGAGCAGAACGGATAAAAAGCAGGGTTTCAAGGACAAGGTCGAGGCTGTGGAGAGGCTGCTGAAGGACGACCAGAGTTGAGGTGTCACGGTTGCCAGGTCATTCACTGTGCCATTCCTGATCAACACGACAATGGCAAGAATGCGATACGAAAATAAATCCGCATACGATCTGCTTGCCGCCACGGGAGATTACCTGCTGGACAGCGATCCTTTTCCTTGTTGACAATTGACAAGTGCACTTGAAACGGCTCGAGGGAAGAGTGTAGATGTCGCAGCGAATCACGCCGGCCGGGCAGTAGTCTCTAACGTAGCTCTGCATAGACAACGCTCCAGGCTCTTCACCGCCAGTCGTGAATGTTGCTGCGGACTAACCCAAAGCATCCATGGGCCCTTGCAGACGCACGGGCGAAGCGCTGTTGTGTAAAAAGTTGGCGTGAGCCGAGCAGCATCATCCTTGGCATCGGTACCTTTCCCCCGGAAAATCCCTCCAGCGGCCTCGCACCTCTCCACCTCTCCCACCTCACTCGGCCATTGCTGCAGCCACACTCGAGCACCGCTACACCGCTAAAATCTTCACTCCCCCCGACTGTACCCCGCCAACCGCCAATTCACGGCCCGCCCCCCTCCGCGTTGTGCCTCGTGTGATCGCATGGCGACTGCACGCGACAGCAGCATCATCTGCCGGCCCTCGCGATAACCTCGACCGCCCACAGTGCGCCCACCGACACCACCATGGCCTTCAACTTCAACTGGTCGCCGCTCATTGCGGACACGTCGCGGGCGCGCGACATGCTCACCAGTGCCTTGAACAAGTCGCCGAAGCCGCCCATCATCGTCGACGACATCCTCGTCACCGAGCTCAACCTGGGCACGACGCCGCCGGAGCTGGAGATACTCGAGATTGGCGATCTGGCCGAGGATAGATTCAGGGGCATCTTCAAGATGTCCTATGCGGGCGACGCCTTCCTGACGCTGAAGACCAAGGTGCAGGCGAACCCGCTCAAGACGTATTTGTCGACCAAGCCAGACTTTGCGTCCCCCCAGCCGCTGGCAGCGTCGTCAGGGTTGACGATCCCGCTGCAGATTACGCTGTCGAACATCCGCCTATCGGGCTTTGTCATCTTGGTCTTTTCCAAACAAAAGGGCTTGACGCTGGTATTCCGAAACGACCCGCTGGAGTCGCTCAAGGTCTCGTCCACGTTTGACTCGATACCTTTCGTGCGAGACTACCTGCAGAAGGAGATTGAAGGCCAGTTGCGCGTCTTGTTCATGGAAGACCTGCCCGCCATCATACACCGGCTATCGTTGCGAATGCTGTCTCCAGAATACCAAGAACTCGAGACAGAAGAACGCTTGGAGCACGCGAATGACACGACCTCAGCAGCTATCGACCCGCTTGCATCACCACCACAAGACGCTGTAGATGCGTTCGGTAACCCTCTAGACGAGGCCCAGATCTCGGCCTTGTCGCTCGAGTCCGGCGAGATCCACGCGTCCTTCTCGCAGAAGAACATCCTCCGCCTCGCAGCACTCTCCGAATCACAGCGGACCCTCTCCCTCTTCACACCCGGCATCCGCGACGCCGTCTTCCGCGCTTGGGCAGGTCACCCGGACAGGCCCGACTCCGGCGCCGCTACACCAGCGCTTACGCAGGGCAGTCTGTCAAGGATACAATCGACATTTGGCAGCCTCAAGTCTGGCGCCTCGTCAATCGCATCCGGTAGCACTGGCAACGACACACACAGCTCACGACCGACCCTGGCCTCGGCCTACCCGGCATCTGCGGGCCTCAGTCTCGGCTCAAGCCGGTCGCGCGCTGGCGGCATGCGGAAACGAAAGAAGCGCGTCGTCGACCTGCGGAAAAAGGACGGTACAGAGTCATCTGGCGTCTCAACAGGTGCGAACACACCACTACCAAGCGCATACGCGTCCGAGACGTCCAGCGTCATACCCGAAGAGAGGGAGGCCGAGGAAGAGCTCGCTACACCGCCCAGGACTCCCGCACATCCAGGTCTGCGCTTCGACAGCAGGCGTGGTAGCTTGGACGTGGGAACACCAAGAAGGCTACCTGAAGAAGCTCCTACATTTGGTCCTCTTCTCGCCCCTGCGCCGCTTCTCTCCGAGGCACCTAAGCCATCCAAGTCAATACCAGCAGCACCGCCTGCTCAATTAGAAGACCCCTTTGTATCTCACACCACTTCGAGACGCCCACCATTATCACGTAATAAGTTGCGACAAGCACAACAGTCCACATCCCCACTCTTACGCTCTCTGTCCTTTGACAAAGTCTCCTCGCTCTCCGCCCTTTGCTCTCCGCCTCGCACCACCTCGCCGCCCAACGCCGAAGTCGTGTCAAGCTCTGGTGGCATCCTGGAGCAAGCATGGATGCAGAAGATGGCGCAGGAAATCGCACGCAAAGTGCAAGAAGAAAAAGAAAAATCTTCGCGCCGGCCATCCAACCCACGAACCAAGACAGCCCCGACTGGAGGCTTTTGGGCGAGCGAAGATGAAGTTGAAGCGCCACCAGCTTATGTCGCATGAAATCATGTTGTTATGACCGACGCTTATCACGATTACTTTTCTCAAAACTCTTGTTTGTTTTACCTATCCATCCGTCTTTCGACTCTTTTTTTTTGTTGTCTTGTTAGCATTGGCGTTTATTTGGAAAAACATTGGGCAGGCGGGGAAAAAAGCTCGTTGCGGATCAACTTGAGTTATTTGGGCGGGCTGCATGGGAACGGTGGGTGGAAGGATCGGTATTAGGTTAGGGGGCGCTGCTGGGAATTGGTGTGTGTGTGTTGTTGAGAAGTACGAATGTGGCTTTTGTTTGTTTGCTTGTTTTTCTCTCATCTTTATTCTCGTCGCCGATGAAATGAATCCTTGGTGCTTGTGCTTGTCGCTGCAGCGAAACTGAATAAAAAGTATATACAATTCATCACCACACTTCTTCATTATTACGCACTCGCCTCATTTCATTCTTGGCTGGCCAGTGAGACGAGAGCTTCAGACCAGAAACTCAGGAGTACAAACCGTGTTATTCCGAATCGTCACTGGGGGGGATGACAACTGATACCATCAAGCGCGCATATATGAGTAGCTATCATACCATTGAGAGAAATCTCACGTAGCCGCCCATTCTCCTCTTAGAGCGCCCATACCAGATTCAAAACAAAAGGTATCGTAATAGATGACTTAGGTAACCAGGTCTCGTTCTCTCTTTTTGTTCTTGATGTCTGTTTAGAAACCAGGCGGGTTCAGTCTCTGGCTTACACGCGTCCATTTGGGCACCTCTGTGGAACTTGTTAGTCTATATCCTTCGCATCCCCTCCCAACCTCCAATCCGCGCAACCAAACAAGAAGCCGAAGAAAAAGAAAAAACCGGGGCAATGCGAACTCACTATGAATCCCCTTGCGATAGCGCTTCACCTTCCGATCAAACACGGTATATTTATCTCGCGGCAGCATTTCCTGCTCAGATGGCATTTCGAGTTTCCAGCGCTCCACCTTCTTCATGCTTTGGCCCGTGCGTCGCAGTGCTGTGTCGAGCGTGGATACGACGCTGTCGACGTGGCGCAGACGTTCGCGATGTCGGTATTTTTGGTGGCGGGAGAGACGCCAGGGGATTTTCCTGTGGGTGGGGGGGGTTAGAAGTTGGGGATGTTGGTGGGGGGGTTAGAGGTTTACCAGAGGAGACCGCCCGATAATGGGTTTGTGAGGCGGAAGGGGCCGAACATGGTGGGTGGGTGGGTGTTGGGGTGGGGAGAGGTACTGGGACGCCATGGAGTTGCAGAGAGAGAGAGACTCCCGCGGAGTTTCTTGGCGGACGTGCGCGCTTGGGGTACATACATACAACTTTGGATAGCTAGCTGCGTCTCGACTTCCTACGAACTCCACGATCTTACGACCATGGCCAGAGGACCCCCCTAAGCGACATAAAAAGAGCGAGCGAGAAAAACTACAACAGGATTGCACACACACCATGTCGTACACCTTCTCCATCCTCTCCCCCCTCGACGTCCCCCTCTTCACCCACGACTTCGGAACCTCGCGCAGCGGCGGCACCGGCCTATCCAACTACACGCCCAGCGAACGCGCACTCGTCCCCTTCATCCTCCACTCGAGCCTCGACATCGTCGAAGAAGTGCAATGGGGGCCCTCAACCTCCAGCGGCTCGGCCCCCATGTACCTCAAGCACATCGACAAGTACCAGAACTGCTTCGTCTCGTGCTGGATCACGGGCGGCAACACGCGTTTCCTGCTGCTGACGC